AAAAAAAAAAAAAAGATGTGAGGGGCTGGAGAACCAGCTGCCCCAGCCTCAGGCCTTGGGAGAGGGCGGTGCAGCCCGTGGAGGAAACACATTTTCTATTTCGGGAGGCTAGTTAGCCTCTGCAAAGAGTGGCTGATGACATGCCCGGCACCTGGCTGGGTGGAAACAAACAGAGACATGAGGCAGTAATTGAGGTTGTGCCCTCTGTCAACCCAGCCACCGCCTCCTCCCCGGGGCTCCCGGCTGGCTGTTGCTCAGGGGGGAGGAGACTGTCACAGCTACAGTAGCTAAATGATGCTATTCTGTCCTCTCCCCCCACCCCCACCCCTCTAGAGCTTTATCCTGTTGGGGCTTCAGCTCCTGCTGTGTCCTCCTGAAGAGGACCTGCCTGTTGCATTCTTACTTTCAGCAGCCTGCCTCAAATGCTACCTCCTCCAGGAAGGCTCCCTTGATATTCACTCTGCCTTCCCGACTTGTGATTAATCACTACCCCCTGAGCACATACATTAGAGTTGGAAATCCACTTTGAGATGACCCAGCTCCGTGTCTAAGGCACACTGACGTCAGCCCGGTTCACCCCAGGGACGCATGAGTGCACTCCAGGGAGTTCCTGGAATTGAATGCAAAATCATGTGCAAAACCAGATGCAGAGATGATGGATAAACAAAAGGTGGTACAACCATACCGGGGAATATTATTTGGCCATAAAAAGGACGGAAGTGCTGATACGTGCTACAACATGGATGAGCCTTGAAAACATTATGCCGAGTGAAAGAAGAGAGACACAAGAGGCTGAATAGTGTGTGATTCCATTTATAGAAAATACCCAGAATATAGAAAATATATAGAAAATATCCAAATCAATAAAGCCAGAAAGGAGATCAGTGGTTGCCTGGGGCTGGGGAGAGAGGGGAATGGGGAGTGACTGCTTAATGGATACAAGGTTTCTTTGGGGATGATTAAAAAGTTCTAGAACCAGAGTGGTGATGGTTGGACAGCATTGTGAGTGTACTAAATGCCACTGAATTGCCATTTGTTAAAATGGTGAATATTATGTTACATGTATTTTACCATAGTAAAAAAAAAAAAAAAATCCAAATGCACATATCAGGGGGGAAACTTCCTAGCTTTGCTTAGGTTCTTCGAAGGTCAAGCAGCTCTGATCTGGTCTGGCACCTTCATGAAGCAGACGGTGATACTGAAGCACAGAGAGCGGATGAGATCTGTCCAAGTTCACTCAAAGGATGGTGGCAGAACTCAGCCTAACCATATATCTCTCCCCCCCTCCTTCTTCCCTTGTCCTTTAACCTCTGCTGAACCCGAATGGCCCCCAGCCCTCTGTCCATAGCCGAGCCAGGCTATGCACAAGCTGTGTCACGCCCCAAAGTTAAAAGGCCCTCCGGAAGCTGGGCTCCTGGAATGCGTTGCGTGAGTGTTTGTCTTTCACCCTAAGCACCTAGAGGGCAAGAGGGAATGCTTCTTACTGTCCTCTGTATGTCACTGAGCTCCAGGTTTCTTCCCTCAAGAAAGAACTCACTGTTCACCCGCAAGGAGCACAGTTAGCCGACAGCCTCTAATGAACATTCTTTGCCCCAGACGTCCATGACTTTGGGAGATCTGCCACGCAGTCTGTGGCTCTCCCAGCCCCGTCCTGCTTCCTCCCCCTTCATCTTTCATAAGCCCTCCCCTACCCCCACTCTTCCCCACAATAAACACCTTGCGCTCCTGACCCCATCTCAGTGTCTGCCTCCCGGAGAGCCCAGATGACACAGTGCTCAGCTTGGTTACCCTAAGTGCTCAGTAAATGTTAATGGAGTGAACTGGAAGGAGGCTGGTGCTTGGACCTCCCAGAGCAGAAGAGAGGCTGCCCATGGAGGATGTCTCAGTCAATAAGAGACCATGTAGAAGGGCATGAAGAGGCCGTGCCCCCTGGGAGAGGCTGGGTAACGGGGAACACACAGGGAGCCTGGAGATTGACTGACCAGCCCTACAGGCATCCTCCCTAGTTTCTCCCCTGTCTAGGGCAGACTGCAGCAAATCTCGGAACTAGCCTAGAAGACAGGGCACAAAGACCCCTGAAGTTGGATTTGTAAAATGGGTATAGAGTGTATCTCCCCCGTCCAACCCCAGCAGGATTTTGAGAACTGACTGAGAAGGTTCTACAGTTTATGGAGGACACTGTGGTGGGTAGTTTAAGTGCATACTCTCGGCTAATCCTTCAAGTTGCCCTGTGTGGGAGGCAATATGACCTCCACCTTATAAGGGAGAAAATTGTGGCCAGAGACGGCAAGGCACTGGTCCAAGAACACAAAGCTAGCAAGCCGGCGGTCTGGCTCTAAAGCCCTTTCATTCTTCCACACACAGTTTGAATGACTACTTATGCGCTAAACCTGGGCTGGGGTGGGGACCAGTGACAGGCCTTCCATGCTCCTACGGAATTTACATTCTCACAGCGAACTTCCCAACAGGCAACCCCCTAAACAAACAGAATAATTTGCAAATGCGTTCGGGCTCTAGGAAAAAAAGGAACCCGAGTGCAATTGTAACGTTGGGACCGCAGAGGGGCTACTTTAGATTGGGCGGTTAAGGGCAGCATCTCCAAGGACTGAAACCAGCAGTACGAGAAGGGCCCAAGTCGGGGTAAAAGCCTGGATTGTTTGGGAAGCGATGGAGGGCCTGTCGCAAGCGCGGGTGGGGGAGGTCACAGGCGCGCGCGTAGGGGGCAGGCAGGGGCCACCAGGTCCCCGAAACCCACGGGAAGCCACGCAGGGGGGCTTCGGCAGGGCGTGAAAGTAGTCATCTGGAGGCACCGAAGGAAGGCCCTGGAGCCGCGGCAGCCGCAGGCGGGGCGCATCCCTCCCTCTCACCTGCCCCCCCCAGCCCCGCCCCCGCAGGCCGCTGACGTCACGGCGCTCGCCGGCGCCCCTGTGACGTCACACCCCGGCCGGCGCAGTTCTCGGGGTCCGCGCGCGGGAGGAGCGGCCCGCGGCGGGCGCGTAGGCGTGGCCAGATGAAAAAAGTGGCTGCCAAGCAGTCTCCGCCCAAGTTGATCGGTGGGTGCGCGCCCCCGCGCGGGGCGCTGGTTGCTATGGACGCGTTGGCGGCCGCTGGCAGGCGGCGCGCTCGCGCGCGGGGTCGCGGGGGGGTGCCGCGTAGCCTCGTTATCCCAGGTCCCCGCGGCGCAGGGCCACGCTCACAGCCCGGGCCACACCATGAAGTCAGTAAAGAAGGAGTCCCGCTTGAGAATACCCGCAAGCAGATTCTTGGAGGCCGCAGAACTCATTAAAGGTTGGCGCTGGCTGCCTTGGGAGCTCAGGAGAACCCGACAGGGGCTGGGGTTCTTGGATGGGATTCACGACACGGGGCCTGGAGGACGGGGGTGACACCAGGATGGAGGTAAAGATCATGGGGGAGTGGGGTACGGAACAAGGCGTACCCCATACCTCAGGGATGATGTACAAGGCAGCGACCCCCGAAAGGGAGGAGGCCCAGTGCACAGGGTCTTGGGGATGGGGATTAGGAAGTAGGGGACTGCCAGAGGCCCCAGGGATCAGTTGTTGGGGAGGTGGCATTGGGCAGGAAGGCATAGGAGACTTCTACTTCTAGCCAAATCTTAGGGTGGGACTCTGAAGGCAGGAGCCCTCCACTGGATGAGGTGCAGAAGAGTCAGGAAAGAGTTTCAGAAAGGCGGGGAACAGGAGTCCTTGGGAAAAGAAATTCAGGAAAGAATGCAAGAAACATGTTGGGGCCGTGAAACCAACAACTTGGGGGGATTCTTTGGAGGGTGTTCACCTAAGAGGCCTGCTGGAAAAACGCAGGAGAAATGCCTAACCTGGCCGGTTCTGCCTCCCGTGTCTTTCCACCACATATATACCCTTTCTGGCTGGATGACACGTGTCCCATTTGTGTAACCTGGAGACAGTCGCAGGCGTGACTGCTTCCTGGCCTCCTCAGCTACCCTCTGGTTGCAGGTGAGAGAGCCCCAGGGTGTGTGACAGCAGACTGACCCCCTGGACGTGTTCCCATTTGCAACCCACCCCCTCTTCCATCATTTTTTGCTGTTTCCATTTACTGGGGGCCTGCTGGTGTGTGGGCACCGTGCTGGACGACAATGGTGTCAGTATTAACTGTGTGATCCCAGCCCACAAGAAACTCAGAATCTAGTGAACTGCCGGAGGAGGAACTAGATAAATATCAATGCTGTGATATAGGGATCCCTAGCAGTTAAGGGGGCTCAGAGCCCCTGACCTAGGTCTTAGATGCTAGAATTTGGGGGGAAGGTTTTCTGAAGCAGGTGACATCTGTGGCTGACACTCCACAGCCCCCCAAAAGGCAGTTTGCTTCTCCAGGTCTAGGGAGCAAGGAACAGCATCCGCTGAAGCATGGAACTGAGAATGTAGATGACATTGGTGGCCAGGGCAGAGGTGGTGAGTGTGGAGGAATGGGAAAGGAGCCAGAGAGGGCTGCACAGGGAGGCAGGGGCCACACCTTGCTAGGTCAGAAAGTCTGGGCATGCTCTTGCAGGCCTTGGGGAGACCCAGAGGCAGCCTCAGGTAGTAGTGACCGTGTGAGAGGAAGGGCAGGTCTGCAGGTCAGCAGGGGCCCCTGGGAGGCCTGCTAAGTAAGTATGGCTGGCTTTAATCCCTCTTCATGGTATAAAAGTCAGATGTAGGCAGGATTGAGATGTTGTTTCATGATATGGTTCTTAACGATGGAGAGAGAAGAGAGCAAAATAACTGGCCCCTTTCCCAAGGGCAGTCAAGGGCTTTCCTAGCTACTGCCTCCTGCTTTCTGCATCTTATCAGATTTGAACTTTCTGCTGTAAACAAATCAAGGAGAGATTTATCACTGCGTATTTATTTTTAAGAAGGGGAAATTTAGCTTGTTAAATAGCCCTCGAGTTGAGAACCATGCACCAGGGCGAGGAGGAAACAAAGCGGAGTGTTTACTTTAGCATGCAATATTCCTTTTTCCCCTCTAAGTATCTCAGGGGACGTCAGTGTAGTAGGACAATACTTTTGTCCCCCCCCCTTTCAGAACAATATAGCTAATCAACACACGTAATCTCATGCTGTGTTTTTCCAAGTTCTCTGAATTATAAGGAAAAAGGCAAGCAAATATTGTGACGAAACCTGTTAAGAGATGTGAGTCCTTTTGGACTCCCAAGTTTCTCCCTGCTCTTGTTAAGAAACCAGGAGCACTCCCAGCAGTACTAGATGCCCCTCCCTGATCAATTAAAGCTCAGGCCTGGTAGGGACAGCCTCTCCCTTGGTTCCTCCAGAGCAACCCCAAAGTCAGAATCTCCCAAGGGCCTTAATCAACACTGAAAAAGAGTAACATTTAGATAAAACAAGAAACCAAAACATCGAGGCCGGGTTTCTTCCCCCTCCATGGCTTCCCCCTTTCCCCCACTCCCACCTGACCTGAGCACCTTGCTTCCAGCTGCCCGGCCTGGCTCCGGAAGAGATGTGTCACTTTACTGCCCCGGGCTGGTCTTTGACCCCCTCGCAGCTGCCAAGATCGAGGGAGAATGCTGGTTGTGGGGCTCACCAGAAGCCGCATTCACCGTGGGTTTCGAGATACACACCGCCCCCCCGCTCTCCGCCCCAGCCACCTGACTTACCCGCACTGGATGTATCACTTTGAAACGCGGCTTTCACCAACTCACCCTCCTGGACCAAACCTGCTTCCTTCCAGCAGGAAGACCAATGCTTCAGCCTTCCTTTGCAAAGCGGTCATGCCCTGGTTTTTCTCTCATCTCCAACATCACCCCCACCTCCCCAACACGCATTCTGTGTCGCCACGCCTCGCGGAAGCCATGTTCCATCTTCGTTCTGTGACTTCACCGGGAACAGCTCTGTTTGCTGCTCTCTCTGGGCAAAGTCTTCCTCTCCTTCAAGGCCTGGACTTAGCCTGGGGAGCTGCCTATGACCCCCGCAGCTTCTCTTCCGAACCTTTCTTTACAGCCCTAAACTGTATGAGCCACATCCATCCGTTCCTTCTTGGACAAGTAACCAAACGCATCGTCTGTGCCACTAACTTAAGCGCTTATGTTATGCTGGTGTGTGTGTCAGCTCTAGTCTTTGGTTTCTCAAGAGGAGCCATATCTTTTAAAAAAAAAAAATTTTTTAACGTTTATTTATTTTTGAGACAGAGAGAGACAGAGCATGAACGGGGGAGGGGCAGAGAGAGAGGGAGACACAGAATCGGAAACAGGCTCCAGGCTCGGAGCCATCAGCCCAGAGCCCGA